TTTCCAGCATCTGACCATTATCAGATATATTTCGCTGTAACTGTGGGAAAACAATACCGGCGATACGTTTGACAATATACCAAGTCACCTGTCCGATAGTGGAAACTGTCATGATTACTATGGCAGAGGACACAGAAGTGTTGCTCCAGTCAAGTTGCGAGCACAGCATCAAACCGACAGTTGAATTTCCTATTCGTTATGACAAATTCATCAACTTGAGCAACCTAAAGTGACTCTGACATACTTGCACACAGACACCACTTTATATTCAGGCCTTAGCCGACTGACCAACACATTTCAGCGACCGAAATAAAGCGGTAAATCGCAGATCTATTCAATTATTCACAAAGAAAAACTTGTCCAGAGGTTGAGTCTACGACGCGTTGATTTGAGTAGACACACTGGGATTGCGGCACACATGCACACATCCCCGGCCGTACCACTGCAACACCACGGCAACAGCCCATAAAGAGGATTTTGCCTTGACTTCCTTTCCATTTTAAGTGGTCGGCCACGCGCCCAGCTGCCCGGTGCGATGCGATCACAGACACCACAGCCCGACTCTAGTCCTCATACGCCAGCAGGTATCCGCATTTGAGCTCGGACGACATTGGCTGCCTTTTCAGACAACCTCCAGTCCAAGTAGGGGGCGTGGAAACTTCATCCCTTGCGTCAGCGCGCCCCGTTGACTTGAGAACACGCTAGCCGCTGCCAGAAAAACCGCTCTCACACGCCAACAAGGCATATATAACTCAGATTGACGCCTCCCAGAGCGAACACAGCGCCAGGTTTGCACACCACCCTCCTCACGTAACCTCGTTCTCCCATCCCAACTTCCCAGTCTGGCCCTGTCAACAGATGAAGGGAGGCCTCCCTGACAAACAGGGTTTTGGATGCCTGTGTTGCGTCTTGAACCTCACCCGCGGCCCCACCGTCAGAGATGGGTGCATATCTCATGTCTGCGATCACATATACGAGATGTCATTGTAGACGTCACATTCTCTATCTTCATCTGCATAATTGATGCTGCGTACACCTTTATTCATGAGCAGAGAACGACTATTTGGAAGGGAAGACGACCGACAGAAGATGTAATGTGTCCACGATTGGGGATCTTTTGAGATATCATATCACACTCGTCAAAGCCTAGTCAAGCTCGTTGTGGATCACAGCTCTACATTCCGATCGCAATTTATGTCATGTCCGTTAATCGCTTATTTATCTCTTAATTGTTGTGCTTACTGCCAGTTCGAATGAAAGTGTTCGGCGAAGAGACTCGAAGGCCGATTCCACCAGAAGACGACGGCGGATTCCTCTTGACCAGCTGCCGATTGGCTTTACTGGAACATTCATGGCGAACTGAGAAGGTGCTCAGCTTTCGTCCGTCATATGATGAACCG